CAAGGAACTGTGAGGAGATTAAAGTGAGCTTTTGACGTTATACCTTGGAAAGAGCAGCACACTCGTCCGTTCGTACGCGCAGACTCGAACATTCTTCTTCGGCCATCGTGAGGCGCTCGTTCCATTCGCTAGTGCTGTGCGCAGGTGCTTGGTCGTACAGAGGTTGCACGGAGCACTGCACGCATCCATTTTGCGCCCTTGGCGTGTTATCAGAGCTGACATCAGCTAGATTGAGAGTCGCGTGAGGCCCCGCACCCGTTTAGATTTCGCGTCCGTACCCTGCACAGCCACGGAGGTACTCATCTGTGCTAGAGGTCGCCGTTGTAGAGCAGCCCACTCGTGAAGTGCCAGAGCCCACACGCCGAGCTGCCGGTCCAGCGCCGTGCCCAACGGCAATGCTCCGTCCCAGGAATTGCTAAACGTCGTGGGACCCTCTGTGGTGATTGCGATAAAGGCGTCAAGGCGCTGAACCGCTGACGCTACCGCTTGCAGCATGTCGGTTTTCAACGCGTCGAGCTCGACCATACGCGCATAGAGCTTCGCCGCAAGGTCTGTCTCGTCGGCAACCACAGAGAGCTCCACAGTAGGCGTCTTCTTTTTGCTTGGCTCTGGCTCGTCATAGTCGCTCAGCGTAGAGCAATCAGAGATAGCACCATAATCTTCATCGTCGTATCGGGAAGTGCTCGTGTTGTTGTCATCGGCGTCGGACTCTTCGTCGCTGCTTAGCTCGAGAAAGTCGGGGGCAGATGAGACTGGGGCGAGCTTCGTCGTGTCGAAGCGCTGTCGACTCGGGAGCGCTGTTTGTCGAAGGCGTCTTGAAGATAGAAGCACCGCTTGCAGCTCAATCGCAGCGTCGTGGACCGCGCTGGCCATTTTCGAAGTTGCGCTTTATTTTTCGAATCGGATCTTTTCCAGCCGGCCAAGAAGTACTGGTAACTCTTGGCCGAACGAGACAAGGGCTCGGACGCGCGCCACCCTTCCCCTATTTTTCTTCCAAAATACACATAATGTTACTAAGTATAGGGCAGCAAATAGAGAACGCTATCTTGACGTCGTCTTCGGTGTTTGCCGCAATGCAGAGAAAGACGCGGTTGAACGCGTCCATCTACCATGCGACGCGCTCCGCAATCTACTGCACAGGATCGCCACTTTTACCGTTAGCGTGCCTGGCACCACCTTGCGGAAGCTCTAGGCTGAGAGTTCGGCAGAGAGCTCCTCGTGCTCCATGTCGTCGAGTTTCGCGGCGCTTCGTTTCTGCCGCTCGTTCATGTGCTTGTACACCCCTGGTGCGGCCTTCTTGCGAGCTTTTTGGTCGCATCTCATGCTCATTGTCGGAGTCCTCGGCCTCGTCTGTCGTCAAGGTCATGGTCAAGCCTACAGCCGCCGCGATGCAAACCATTGCTGAGCCCATCGCTGCTACAAAGGTACTTGTACCCTTACACCATTTACCCAACAGATCGAATCTGACACTTGAGAAGGTATCTCGGCCGCTTCTGTTTATGCACATGAGGTAGGACGAGAATCTTCGTCGTCACACAGTAGTTCTACACAATGCCTCGTGTAGTTGCCATGGCGGCTTCGTACTTCAGTGCGAGGATCAAGACGGTGACGGCTTAGGACTTGACACCGAGCGACAACCTGGCCGCTTGAGTCCACGCGACGAAGGACGTCAAGTACTTGGAGTCTTGTTCAGTCCCACACGGAAGCGTCGAATCTGTAAACGTGCCAGCGGCGCTGGCAAGTAGAACACAATGACACGAGCGCTGGCCCAGCGCTCGTGTCATTGCGTTCTACTTGGCTGCCACAAAGGTATACTGCGGGCACTGCAGGCGACAATCATATCGCCGACTTCTTGTTTGCGATTGTACTCTAGAGCGAGCTGCAAGGCGATTCTTTGAGAGATCCTCTTAGGCCATCTCTCGTTGCACGACAACGTTTATCCCACAAACTCAGCATGCACAAACCGAGCCACTAAGCAAAACCCGACGTCTTTTATGCCTCGAGTTGCCCACAAAGAACGATCTCGGAGGGCAGGCTTGGAGCACAGTAAATTAGTATCCACATGCGTCTGGAGCAGAGAGTTGTTCCCTCGATGTGTCAGCAAAGGATCCGTTGCCAGACATCGCTTGCGGCATACTAGTAGTATCGTCATGGATTCTTTCACACAACATCGCTTTACTTACACTTGTAGGATTAGCCTACCGATGTACATCTCGTGAGAGCATATTGAGTACCGGTATCTTGGGTGAATGTTTCCAAGCTCGTGGTGCTCGTGGTGCATGAGCTTGCTACTGTACAGTTGCCGTGCGGCCTGCACGGATCGCGCCAACTTTTCTTGCGTGCTGGATATTGCCATATGGCTCCATACAATTCTTAGACATGGCATTCCACCCATCCTTTGCCCTCCCGTTTGTTGCATGGGAGAATCCATAAAGAAGAAAGATATGGCTAGTCGAGCTCACGGGTCGAGCTGGCTGGTCGACATACCGGTACATACCTGTCTCGCATTTCAGCCAATCGAATGTATTATTTCCATGTGAAAGAGTGTAATTGGTGCATGCTATGTAAAACCTGATCTTTTCGGCCAATCCAACGTGCGTTTCAAAGTGCTAGTAATGCTGAGCGGTCATTCACCCGGGCAGACGACTACTGTACTGTGGAGCTCTCACATGGTCGCTGTCATTTCGGAACTGGACTCCAACAAGCATGAACAGAGGGACGAAGATCGCCATCGCGGGTACAGCGCCTCGTGCAGCCGCATCAAAAGCAACAAATCCCTTGCGATAGTGATACTGCTTCTTGGCGCCGTCTTCGGCATCCTCGGTGGCGTCGGTGTCTTCTCGTCGTCTACGTCCGTTTCTGACAAGGCGACCCCTGACCACCAAACCAAGTCGAACGGCTCGTCCACGTCACTAACGCCTGCGACGGGCACCGCAGCACCTGGCACACTGCCCGACGTTGTGGTCAACTCGTCTGTCCGTGAGGGTCATCTAGACCGCCCCGCAAGCTGCAAGATTGTGCCTCCAGGTAAGCGTGTCGCCGCAGTTTTGGATGACAGAAATTGGCGGCTGCGAGACCGTACGTCACTACGCAGTTGATCCCTTTAGTCAGCTCTTGAGCGTGTAGATCCCCGATGGCGTCACGCACGTATATTTCGCGTTTGCTGAAATCCAAGCGGGCCTCGTCAACCAGTCGTTCCAGACGAGCGAGGCCAACATGACGATGTGTGTCTCGGCGTTGCGCAAGTGCGTGTTTGAACGATCGCCTTTCGTGAGCTGACGAACTTTGTAGGCGCTGCATTCTGGTCCTCGGTAGCATTGGTGGCGCCAACGCTAGCAAGTACATGAA